GAGAGAGAGAGAGAGAGAGAGAGAGAGAGAGAGAGAGAGAGAGAGAGAGAAATTATTTAGTGAGCAATTTCTTATCGACGGCGTCGACGAGTCGAATTACACTTCTGTGAGCGTGTGTAGCATGTACCACATAACAACTGAGTTTGTATTGAAGCAAGACCGGAAGGACTGGGGGGTATCCCCGTGGCTCGTATTATCAGCCCGACGGTATTGTTACCCAGCGTGGCAACGATATTTTTGCACCCTCTCGGGCGAGCTTCTTCTCGGCTCCCCAACCCCCCGCCTCTGCCCTCTGCCACTGCCCCGGGCAGCGGGGACTCGGGTGTGGGGGAGGTTTATGTGGCGTTCTGAGTGTACACGAGATGCTGGATATTCACAGAGAGTCCTATTGTCCATAATTCTTGGGGTCATGAATCAGGTCAAGGCTTCGGTTATCGTGAAACTTGAGGGTCTATTCAGGGCTGATGATTTTTTTTCATCGGGTCGAGGGGAGGGAGGGGAACCCATTTTCTACGGTGTCGATCATTATTTTTAAGTGGAGGAATGTTTGCAGAGAGCTGCACAGCGTTGTAATTTATCCTGCGTAATAAAAGTGCATTTTTACGCGGCACTCTGTGCTAGTGGGCGGTAAAACAGACCCTTCGTTCCAGGATTACGCTGGGAGAGTATCGATTGTTCAATTGTGTATTTTACTAGTGATGGGACGTGGGAGGTTTTCGGGATCCTTCAATTAAGTCGCCTTTCGAATTGAAGACTCTGCCGACTGCACTGTTAGGTAAATTTGGGTGAATTTTCCGGATAACTTGGATATCCAAGTATTTTAGCTATTCTTTCTCCAGTGAAAGAATTTTCTAGTTTTGTACCCTGTTAGAAAATTACTCCCAGTTAATTAGCTATTTTTATCAGAAATTGATTTTCTGTTAGAAATTTCACGCCAAATATCTTGAAATTTTTAACAATCACTCATTAACACGAAATTTTCATGTATTGTGTTATTCACAAATTAGTTAAATTCTGGACTATTCGATGGCGTGGCTATTTTCAGGTCCGCATGATAATGAAAATTATTAAATGATTTGAAAATTCAAGCAACAATTTTCCTGAATTTCCGTTCTGAATGAGAGATGAACGATTTGATTTTAAATTGAATTCAAATTCACAACACTGAGAATTCAAGTGCAACTATTGCTCAATTTATACAATAGTACATTAAAGTACAAGGGCACAAATTTCGTTTTCAACGAATGTGTGTACAGACCTCGCCTTCGGCTCGGCCTGTAAACTACACATTCGTTGAAAACGAAATTTATTACCGAGTGCTCTATAATATTTTATGTCAAGTCGTGCAGAAGTCGAGTTTTGAGCAGGCTGCGCGAAGCGCAGCGTGCGATAAACTCGACTTATTGCACGGCGCGACATAAAATTTCTGATAGTGTAGTCGAATATGAGAGCCTTCATTTGAGCCCCATTTGACCCTAAATTTCCGGACATTTTTAATGATTTTATTATTCACATTTTGCGGGTCTGAACTTGAATTTCGATATTGCACCGTTAGAAAACATTTTAAAAATCAGAAATAATTTAAAAATTGCAATTTTTCTAAACTACGATCATTTTCTACAAATAATTTATAAACAACCAATTTTCCACCGTAGAAATCATTTGTTCGGAATCGTAAAAAATTTATTTATATTCATATTTTACCAGAAATCGATTTCATGCCTAAAAAAATCAGGTTTCTAAAAGGTTAAACAATTACAATTATTTATTTATAAACAACGACTGTTTAAAAAAATAATAATTCTGTGCAAAATGTAATTTTAATGACGCTGAATATTCATGATTTTCTTTCAAATTTTTCTCACGAAATTTAATTGACAAATTCAATTACGAAAAATGGCGGAATTTATTGTGTGGTCTGTATTAAACTGTAAAAGATACTTGGCTATCCTTAAGGGGCAAAAGTCATTGGAAATTAGAGTTTCATTTTTTTTAGCGCAGTCCAATTTTTTTAGTGGCAGGAAGACGGAATTTGCACGAATTTTCATGCAATTCCTGTCAAGTTCTTGGAATTCCAGAAGTTTTTGAAAGAGAATGCGAATTAGGGGGAAAAATAGTGAAATTTTTTATCTCACTGAAAATTTAAGGAAATAACAAATCTTTGAGTAGCAGAAAACCGAGAATTCCTCCACGAACTTGAATTTTCCAACAAATAAAAATTCAAAAAATATACTCATCTGGATTTTTTCTGATTTCTATTGATAATTCTGGAACGCTTGAACTGAAATTCACAGTGTCCATAAATTTCTTCATCAACTTCTAAATTTTTAATGACAGAATTCCATGAACTATCAGTGAAACGCTCAACAAAAAATTCACAGAAATGCACCTCAAATTTCACCCAAAAAATTCCTAACATTTCACCATAATCCCTGTCTTCAAAGAGTATGAACACTCCATAAATTTTCTACATAACTGAAATCCAAAATCACAATCAAATTAACTCCAACAAAAAACCCTCTCAATCCAATCGACAATCTCTTCATCAAATTCCCATACTTACCCTTGAAAGTTTATCATCATCCACTTCACTCCAATTCAATCAACGAAATCATGTCTCCCAACTTGCTAATTAAATTGAATTAATTTCCCCCCTCCAAGCGAAATCACTGAAATATCTCCCAATGAGCCCCGACAATTTATTTCCCAGCATTAACAAACTTTGAATACTTTGAAAATCGACGACTAAATTGGAATACGAGGGAAAAGCCACAGTTACAAACGATGACGCCGGTATTATTTCATTATTTATGGTATCGAATTTACGCAAGCGTTATACATCAACCCAAACCTCTTCTTTTCTTTGTTTTTCCGTTCCCCCCGGTATGACAGTTTTCCGATTTCACGGGATTAAGTTACCGGGGGATGTCGGTCCCTATGGGTGAATTAAAACGCTAATAACAAGCCGGCGATATTTATTGGACGGCTTTTCACTGGAGGTACGCTCCGGTGGTCCGAAGGTGTTGGAATGAGAGGGAACGGGGTAAAAAAAAACGACGAAAAGTCAGGGGGAGGGGGGAGGTGGCAGTGGGAGGGTCATATCCGAGTAGAAGTGCTCTGTGGATGGCCATTGTTTCCCAAACGCGGTCCTTACGACTTTTATGAGGGAGATTTCTGGCTTAGTCGCGCGAATAACTTTGTAACGTTTCACCAGGGTGTCATATCCTCTGCAGGAAACG